GGTCTCTGGGAAGCCGTCTCGTGCAGTGTTGTTACGTTCACCTGACGCAGAAAGTGAGCTCCCCAAGTTACTCCCCTAAAGCCAGCTTTTTATACCCGCCTCTGTACAAGTGCAAGGTACTACGTACAGCATCTGAAAGTAGCTTTAACCCCTCTGCCTTCTCCCTTTGTCTCTGGTCCCGGGGTGTGTTCCCCAGCTCTCTTTCTTTTGAGCGCCTGCCTTCCAGGCCTGGGAGGGGAATCATTTGCCTGTTGCTAACCTAAAACACTCCTCTGTCCTGGTCGTCACAGCACCCCTATTCATTTAAGGCAAAAGCTTCGTGAATGCAAGGGATTATGGGAAACTGAGCATAAACGAGCAGTGTTATTTAAAAACCATAGGCCAATGTAGGCTCTCTAACGGCTATAATATTAGTGCTTAATGCTACTTGTGCTTAATGCACACTAATATAGCTATGGTGTGGACAACATATTATTAGTATGACGTGTATACACAGGCCAGCAACAGGGCCTGCTTGTGGCCTTGATAATTGTCAGTTAAGGTGGCACCGTTGCAGAGTAATATATGAAACTGGGGGGTGGGTTGGACATGTGATGAAACACGCTGAGGACAGCACCAGCTCAGCGCTGCTGGCTAAGAAGTTCAGGCGATTTTCCTTGGCCAATGCTCCCTGGCGAGTTGGTCGGGGGAGTTCACACATAACGCCCAGATGCAGCAGAAATCATTTCTTTACCTTTTAATTATCTCTTGCAATTAAGTATTAGTAATTATTAATTATTCATTCGACGTTGCTTGCGTGCGGTTATGCAGCTTGGCAGGGTCACACATATTACACACCATGTACTGCAGGGCTAGCAGGCAGCCCTCAGTGCCTTGAGGGACGGGGTTAAAGCCAGTCTCCACTGGGTTATAAACGATTCCCATTTGGTCCTGGGTTCTGGGGGTGAGACTCTTAATCCTGTGGTGCTGATTCCACAGCCCGATGCTCAGAATAGTTAATACGGGGGGTCGGGAGATCAATATATTTTTCAAATGACCTCTGTCCCAAATAGATATTCCAGATTCAAATAATCCGGACACATAACCACTCGTTCCACCTAGTCTTGGGGTTTCCTATTTGAAAGATCCCATGATGCAGTAGAACCTCTGAGTTAAGAAAACCCCAGAGTTACGAACTGACCAGTCAACCACACCCCTTGTTTGCAACCGGCAGTACACAATCAAGCAGCAGCAGAGACCAAAAACAATACTGTACAGAACAGTGCTGGGTTAAACGTAAACTAGTAAAAAAAAAATCAAGGGAAAGCAGCATTTTCCTTCTGCACAGGAAAGTTTCAAAGCTGTGTTAAGTCAATGTTCAGTTGTAAACTTCGGAAAGAACCAGAACGTTTTGTTCAGGGTTATGAACAACCTCATCCCCAAGGTATTCGTAACTCCGAGGGTCTACTGTCGTGTTTTGCCCAGCCCTTGAGGATTGCAGGGCCGCCCAGAGGATTCAGGGGGCCTGGGGTCTTTGGCGGCGGGGGCCTCCCGCCACCGATTTGCCGCCGAAGACCCGGCACTTCGGCGGCGAGTCCCGGGGCGGAAGGACCCCCCGCCGCGGGTCTTCAGGGCACTTCAGCGGCGGGTCCCGGAGCAGAAGGACCCCCCGCCGCCGAAGACCCGGAGCGGAAGAAGCTCCGGGGGCCCGGGCCCCATGAGAGTTTTCCGGGGGCCTTGGAGCGAGTGAAGGACCCTGCTCCAGGGGCCCCGAAAAACTCGTGGGGGGGCCCTGCTGGGCCCGGGGGCCTCCCCCGGGCGGCCCTGGAGGGTTGCGTGCCTTGCTGAGAAGAGGCTTTTTGAGTAATTAACAGAGACGTCCACAGTAATGATACGTTTGCTTGGACGCCATAATCAAGTTCTGCCGGACGTCAACGAGAGAGATTCGAAAGCACAGATATCCGCATGAACTCACCACGCTTAATAACAAACAGGTTAAATAACAGTTAGAACTGGCGCAGCTCTGGGTCTTTGTAATGTTTCTGTAGGTGCAGCCGCAGTTGGGTAACATAATGTTGTTGGATTTTTGTTTTTTTACCCCGTTTTTAACCCAAATTGATACACACAATTGCATACACTGTAATAGCAACCGAATCATTTATAACACATGCTGGGCTTTAACACAGCAGGGGACAGACGCACGGCCTGCTTTCTCTCTCTTTTTTATTATTAAAATACATTTTTTGATTTTTTGCTCTGATTTTCCCCCAATTCTTTAGCACAAACGCTCCTGGTTTAGACACTTTTTGCAGCTTCTGCAACAAGAGTCATTGGTACTTCCCGACCAGGGTGCATTGCTAGTTTGCCATAATAAACCCAGTGCTAAAAGCTCACCCGGGTCTGGCCTCCCCCGCTGCGCCGTCTGCTTTAGCACAAGAGTTCGCAGTGGGAGTTGGACCCAGGCTCTCCAGAGTTAATCTGCTTGTACTTGGGAGACAAAGATGGAAAAACCTGCTGCCGCTTGGTTGGTTCGCGGGACCATTTTGCAGCAGAACCAGACATAATATAGAGGGCAGTATTGGTAAACATTTTAGCTCTCCATTTTAATATGTAATCAAGGTGCAAACAAGCGCATAAAAACCTAAGCAACAGTTACAATTTTATCATTCTTACCTTTGTATTAACACGGAGGGGGTTTTCCCCTACAGTTTTTTTTCCTTTGACCAAAAAGCCTTCAATTAGTTTTAAAAAAAACCCACAACCAAACTTTTGTTTGCAATTGAATTATTTATTGAGGCAGAAATACAGGGCCATATAGTTAGAACTGGGGCCTTTTTGAACTTTGCAAAACAAATTGATTCGGGAATATCATGGTGTGCTGCAAAATATGAATGCCAACCAAACACATTTCAGCAGGTTTTCACCTTTGTCTCCCAAGCACATGCAAATTAGCACCAAAAAGCCTGGGCCTGCGCCAACCACGATCAGCCCCCCGCTATTGCTAAGGGCTGATCCTGTGGCAGGGAGTTCCACAGGCCCACACCCTGTACACACTATAAACAACCAGCCTGCCCCAGGGAATTGCCCCAATTCTCTCCCTTCACATAGGGCCCCAAATTGGTCTCTGCAGATGCCGACCAGAGCGTGAAGCTGTGCCCCCTCCTGGCCCCCTTTGTGCCCTGTGATGAGTCAACTCACTGCTACAGCGCCTCCTCTTGGCTAGGTGTGGCACAGCAGCTCCGCCCCGCCAGACGCTCCCCTCCAACGGGCTCCCCGCTGCCCCTCGATTTAAGTCCACCCTTCCGCAGTCATGAGAAAGTCCAAAGTCCAGCGCCCTGGTATCGCGGCTGCAGCCCCAGCTCTGGGCCCCTTGCAGCCCTCGGCTCAAGGTGTCCCAATGTCTTTATCCCCTTATTTCGGGGGGATCAACCCACCTGCCCTGGTCCCAGCCCAGAACAGGGCTGACCGGCACCATCCCCATTGCTGCAGCCCTAGGGGCCACATGCCTCCGCCCAACCCTCCCTCCGGGGCCGGCGCCCTGATCGCTCTCTGGGGGGGGTGTCTGGTTGGCTCCAGGCAGCAGGGGCGCCGGCTCTGATACAGCCCCAGGGCAGGGGACCTACGTCCACCCCGCCTCCCCCCCACCCCCCAGGCACCAGGAGACGCAGACCCCGCGGCTTTTACAAATGGTGCAGTTTATTTATTGCTCCAAAATAAAACCGAATGGAAAAACAGGACAATGGGGGGAAGGGGGGCATGGGAGGGGGAGGGGCCTAACCCCCCCCCCCCCCCCCCCCCAGGGTGAGCCACCAGGGACCCGGGTGTGTCAGGGAAGAGCCGATTCTTCCCGTCCCTCTGGATTGAAAGGCATTTAAAGGGACGTAGCAGAGGAATATGTATCCTCCTACATGTCACTCTTTAAAGGCAATGTCACTGTCTCCCTTCATTTCATTCTGGCAATGTCCCTTTAAGGACAAAACGCAGGGGAATATACACGGCTGTACCCATCCCTTTAAGAATAACACAGCTAGGAGGACACTTTGAATAGCATCCCTTTAAGGATAAGTGTCCTCCTGTTTTTTATCCTCATGGGGGGTGAATATAGAAGTAAATATCCCCCCTGCATTTATCCTTAAAGGGATGCTGTTCAACTAAATATCCTCCTGTGTTTTAATCCTTAAAGGGGAAGGGGTCAGTTGTAAATATGTTTTATCCTTAAAAGGATGATGTTTAACTCAGTGTCCTCCTGTCTCTTTTTTGACTCCTTAAAGGGGTGGGTTCAGGGGTATCTGTGGGCCAGTATTTTACTCTTAAAGGTAATGATTAAGAATTATGTTTAGCCTTAAAGGAGCATTGTGAAATTAAATGCCCTCCTGCCTCTTTTACCCTTAAAGGGATGAGTTCAGGAGTAACTGTCTCTCCCCTGCATTTTATGCCTAAAAGGAGCAATGGGGAATTATTTTTACCTTTAAACAGCTACAGCCTCCTACCCTGAATGCCCTTAAAGGGATATGGTATAAAACACGGGAAGGTATTTATCGTTTAAGGAGATCCTGACAAGGAGCAAGGGATAAATATCCTCTGGCTTTTTCCTTAAAAGGAAGGTCAGCGTCACAAGGTGGGGGCGGGGGGGGGGGAAAGAGGCCTGGTTTGTTATTGGGTGGGCTCTCAGGCGGTCTGCTACATGCTCCAGAGCTCTGCGTGCTAATAAATTATTGTAGGGTCTCCTGCAAACCCCAAGGCGGCGGCACTCCCTGGTTACTACAGGGCCCCGTGAGCCGCAGGGGTTTGTGCATGGTTATTGCAGAGTGGGCCTACGTTATTGTAAGGTCTCCTGAGACCCGCAGGGCTGTGTGGGATTGTTTGTTACTGTAGGGTTTCCGACAACAGTTGTTTTTGTAGGGTCGGCAGCTCCCACCACCCAAGAAGGGGGGTTGGGGGGTGGGACGGCAGGACAGCCCCCTCCCCCCGCCCACCCTTGCCAGCCATGGTTGAGTAAATAAATAAATAAAATAAATAAATAAATAAATAAATAAATAACTGGGGACGGGGTTATAAATTAATTAATTACCGAAGCAGAAAACTGTGAGTTGGCACATGGACCTGGATATGTACAAAGTGGGAGGGGAGGTGGGGGGGAGCAAGGCATTCTGGGATGGCGTGAGCAGAGAGATAGGACATGGCCCCTCCGCCACGCGCTGCCCCCCCTTCACCCCCCCACGTCGTCTCTTTCCTTCTGCAAGACGCCCCCTCGCTCCGGACGGGGGACACGGCCCCGTCAGATGGACACTTCGTATTCCCTGGTGTCCTGGGGGGGCAGAGACGGGGGAAACAGTGTCATTTGGGGGGGCAGAGCCCCCCCCATCCGTTCCCATCCCCCCGGCCAACAGCTCCCCCCACACAGCCCCCCCATCTGTTCCCATCGCCCTGGCCAACAGCTCCCCCCCATGCACCCCAATCCCTGCCCCAGCCCTGTGACAGTGAGAGGGGGGAGAGCGAGTGACGGGGAGTGGGGTCTGGAGGGAGTGGGGGCGGGGTCTCGGGGGAAGGGGCGGGGCCGCGGGGCGTTCGGTTTCCTGCGTGGGGCGACTCACCCCAGCCTCGTAGAGCGGGTTGCTGAAGTCGGACTCCACGGTGATGGGCCTGTAGCTGTGGGAGCTGGAGAACGAGAAGCCGAACAGGGACTTGCCCTGGAACCTGGGACAGAGACGTGGGGGGTGAGACTGACACGGGGGACCCAGCCGCACCCCACATGCGATGGGGCCGCCACCCCTTTAAGAGTCTCAAGCTCCACCCCCAACGAATATCATTCCACCCTCATTCCGACACTCCCCTTTAAGACTCCAAAACCCCGCCCTCAATGACCACCATGTCCCTTTAAGACTCACGGGCCCCGCCTCCCAGTGACTAAGTGCACGGCCCCATTGGCCACCCTGCCCTTTTAAGAGCCCCAAGCCCCGCCTCCCAGCTGCCACACCCTCCGTCCTCATTGGCTGTGGCTTACTTGGTGTAATAGACGTAAATGCCGCCAATCAGGAGAATGACCAGGATGATTGGCAGGAAGATAGCCAAGGCGATGTTACCCCCCTCCATCTGGTGGGAGGGGTCTGTCGTCTGGGTGACTGCGCAGAGACAGGTGGCCAATCAGAGAGGACAAAACCAATGACATCATAGCATCCCTGTCCCGTTCCCTGCAGCACCCCCTAGTGCCGCACTGGGACCAGCACTGACAGCCAGGGGAGAGCCCCACCCCGCCCCACGGCGCCCCCCCCCCCGCCCCCCCCCCCCCTGCCCCCCCGCCCCCCCTGCCGCGCCCCCTGCCCCATGGCGCCCCCTGCCCCACAGCACCCCCTCCTGAGCCCCTGCCCCACGGTGCCCCCTCCTGAGCCCCTTGTGCCTGTAATTTAAATGACCTTCTAGCTTCCGGTCATCCAGTAACTCCTCATACGCCACTGAGAACAGAGCAGAGAAAGAGTTAGAAGAGACAAGCAAGGGGCTACGGGTCGGGAGTGAGGGGCACCGCAGGGCTGGCAGGGGGCTGCGGGT